ATCGTCATTCGAAAAAAAAAATATCCAAAACTACTGTAGTGATCAGGGCGCTGATGTCGTACGCTGAAATACCTTGGCGAACGGTCTTGGTCGCTACAGTGAAAAGACGAGGTCGAATCTGGCCTGGCTCCCTCATTTTTCCTTCCTCCTTCCTTCTTTTCCATCCTTCTCCCCCTCACCCTTTCATTCTCCCCTCAAAAATACCTCTGCGCCCTCCCAACGAGATGCATTTCCACTTGTTTCTACCACACATACTAGGCTTTACTTACCAGTACTAAGGCAATGACCAGTCCAGCGAAGATAGCAAACATAGCGGGATAGTCAGTCGACGTGAAGACGTACACATTTAATGACTCGCGCCATGTCTTCAGATTTGTATCCGTTTCTGTCATGTCAGCAGCCTATGAGAGTGGAAATAATGCGAGTAGGGCACGAACACTAGTTAGTTGCCAGAAAAAGAAAAGTTAGTTGCCAGAAAAAGAAAAACACAAGTATCCGGTGCTGTTCGGCTTTGGAAAAAAGAGGAGGGGGGATTTTACACCACATTTTTTTATTGCTAGTCCCTGTACACGTTTTAATTTGGAAAGACCTGTATAACCCTTCACAAATGTAAATGTAGCTCATACTATTGTATAGCTTTGCAGGATTTCAGAGGTATCCACAGGATGCATCAGCAGTGATCGATGGGATCCAGCATGATGCTCCCCACCATGCCGAACAGCACCAAAAGTCCTCTTCCAAAAAAAGAGATCTTACTCTTTTTCTCCTGATCAATGTCATCTGCTCATCGTGACGACTCGGCGATTTCACTGGTTCGGAGAGAGCCAAAACTTCGACGATAACCTGATCGCCGTAGGCCGTAGTCAACGCTTGCGTAAGCTTAATTGAACCATTCATTATCCTTCTCATTAATTTTTCAATTTCATTAACAACTGGTTCTACAAATATTAAAAGAATGAAATTCAGAGCATGTTGTTTATTTCGCTTACGCATCTCTAGGAAATTTAAATGATCCTATAATGAGTGCTAAAGAGTTCTCCTCCAAAAGCATGGGTTTTTTTCTAGTCTAAAATAATACAAAAATTTTGAAAAAAAAAAGTTGAAAATATTATCGTGTGTACCTTGTCAACAGCATTTTGCAGATCTTTTAGTGCCATTTCACGGTCCTCAGGGTTGAGTTTTGTGCTAGCCAGCCCACTTATTGTCACACGGTAGACGTCGGCCGTGTTCTTCTCCTCAAATTTAGCGCCCTGAGAGGCGATAGCGGCAGCCAG